TCGGGGCTGTGAGGCGGCGGCTTGGGGCGCCCTGGCGTGAGGGGGGCGGCGGCCTCTCCTCTGGTCGGTCCTTCATCTGAAACTTTCCAGAAAGTAGTCACTTCTGCCTTCTATCTATGAGACCCCGAGTTTAGAAAATACTTGTTTATCCTGAATGCCCGAGGAAAGCTTTCTTTGTAGGGCGCGTAGCAAAAAACAGCTCCAATGTCATAGTTGCTTATTTCTTGTTGCTTTTCAATATTGAGGTTATTTACGAGGCCACACTACTGCAGTCGTCATTTTTTCTCCTCAGGGAGCTCAAGCTACTGTAGTGAGTGCTAAGTCAGCAAAATGGACTGCACCTAGAGTACTGCGTCCAGCTCTGGAGCCCTCAGCACAAGAAGGACATGGAACTTTTGGAGTGGGTCCAGAGGAGGGCTACTAAAATGATCTGAGGGCTGGAGCACCTTTCCTATGAGGCCAGGCTGAGAGAGTTGGGCTTGTTCAGCCTGGAGAAGAGAAGGCTGCAGGGAGACCTGGTTGCGGCCTTTCAGTACCTAAAGGGGGCCCATAGGAAAGGTGGGGAAAATCTTTTTAGTAGGGCCAGCTGTGTCAGGACAAGGGGTAATGGTTTCAAACTAAACCATGGTAAGTTTAGACTAGATATAAGGAAGAAATTCTTTACAATGAGGGTGGTGAGGCACTGGAACAGGTTGCCCAGAGAGGTAGTGGAGGCCCCATCCCTGGAAACATTCAAGACCAGGTAGGACGGGGCTCTGAGCAACCTGATCTGGTTAGCAGTGTCCCTGCTCACTGCAGGGGGGTTGGACTAGATGACCTCTAGGGGTCCCTTCCAACCCTAAACATTCTATGATTCTAAGTCAGATGCTGGGGTTGCAGTGAAAGTACATGAAGAGGCCAAGCTAATTAAAAGATGCACAATTACAGTGCTGAGAGCTTAGAGTCTGTAGATAACCTCAGTTATCTTGAGCTGAGACCAGGCAGTCTCCAGCAGAAATGTGCTTTGTAAACATAGAACAAGCCACACAAAGAGATGTACATCTTAAACAAAACCATATAGGAACTAGTAAGCAATAATAAAAAATTAGAGACAGTCATTAATTTTGTGCGGTATTAATGGATGTAATATTTAGGGCTTGCAAGAGTCAAAAAATAGCTTTGGGAACTTACTCCAATCACTGGAGGGCCCCATCAACAGAATGTGGACCCAAAATTTTCAGCAAGATTAAATCATTATGGGGAAAAAAAAATACCTGAGAGATGACAACTAAATAGCAGAAGAAAATAGAGCATGCTGATTTCCTTTCTATAGTCTTAACTCTTACATTTGATAATACTTTTCTAGGCTAGACTGTGGTGGTTAAAGGAGCGCATATGCTGTGCATCAGTAATTTTGTCCGTTAAAGATCTATGATGCATATGATTTAATACAGAGAACAAAGTGCACATGAGGAGCGTATATGACATTTTTGTTCAATAGCTTAAGCACATTAGCTTCAGCTCCTTCAAAAAAAATCTCTAATCAAGTCCATGACAAGCTCCAAGCTGACATGTATTCTTGTGTGACCAGTCAGATGACATGACTCAGCAGAGAAAATTTGAGAGGCCTAAGGTGCAGAGAAAGTTCCTGTGATTTAGTAGCAGTGTTAATTTTTTTCTTGGACTGTACAAAGAATTATGTGTAAAAACAGGGAATTAAGCTGTTTTAAAGCAGAGTTTAATAAAGCATACAGTAGGTTTTCATGACAGTATTCTACCAGAGTCTGTATGTTTAAGTACTGTAGCAACTTCCTCACAAAGCCTTTTTAGCTAACACCCACGTGCTTTACAATAGTCCCCCTGAGTTCTGCGATTTTGTTTTAATTCCGGTTTGGAGTGTGCATTTGTTACCTCAAAAATAATTTTTGTTTTGTGGAAATGCTTTCTCCTGTATGTCCTTGTTATTAATCAAGTACATTCTTCAGGCATTTATTTGATGCAAATTAAGTCAAGCTCCCACTATGCAGCTCTTAGTATGTGAGGGGGCTGGTGTCTGAATGTGACACCCACTAGTTTAAGAGTCCTAGAATTTTACTCATATCAGTCACACTGCACAACTTGAGCAGTGTTTGTAAACTTAAAAGCTTTAATTCAGTATACTACCAATGAATTAGGGAAAGGAATTGGCACTTCCCAAAAGATTGTGTAGAGG